CTAACTCTCCCCCTCGATCTCTTCCCTTGCTGCCAGGCTGTCCAGGGGACAGGACTCGCCTTCATAGTCTACTCTGAGGCAATCAAAAACATGGAGGTGCCGCAGCTCTACTCGGTGCTCTACTTCGTCATGCTCCTCATGCTGGGCATAGGCAGCATGCTGGGCAACACGGCCGCCATCCTCACGCCGCTCACCGACAGCAAGTTCATTGCCAGCCACCTCTCCAAGGAGGTGGTCTCAGGTGAGCAGACACCACGCACGGTGAGAACGTGCACAGCGSAGCTCTGGTGTCCCACCGTGTTTGAGGGTCCCGCTTCGTCCTCCAGAGGAGCGGGGATCGTCAGATCTGCTGCCACTAGTGCTTGCCTGCTCTGGGGAAAGCATCTGTAACAGGAGCAAACCGGGTTGTGTTTGCTGCCACGTGGCTAAATACCACAGCGCAGGGCAGGTGCTCTAGGGAGGAATATGCCCATGCACCAGGACAGGCTGGGGGCTGGCCTGGGTTTGACAGAAGGACCTGGGGGTTCTGGTAGACAACAGACTGACCGTGAGGCAGCAGTGTGYCCACCYGGCCAAGATCAATGAGATCCTGAGCTGCATCAGGATGAGTGTTGCCAGCAGGTCAAGGGAGAGGATCCTGTCACTCACCAGCCCTGGTGAGGCCGCATCTAGAGTACTGGGGACAGTTCTGGGCTCCCCAGTATAAGAGRGATACAGAGCTACTGGAGAGAGTTCATCATAGGACTAGGATGGCTATCAGGGGACTGGAGCATCTCTCTTATGAGGAAAGACTGGGAGAGCTGGGCCTCCGCAGCCTGCAGAAGAGAGGGCTAGGGCAGAACTTACCCGTGTACACAAATATCTGAAGGGAAGGGGTCAACATGCTGGGGCTAGACAGTTTTCAGAGGTGCCCAGCAACAGGACGAGATGCAGTGGCCACAATCTGAAGCACAGGAAGGAAAAACTTCTTTAGTGACAGAGTGACAGAGCACAGGACCAGGTTGCCCAGAGGCTGCAGAGTCTCCTCTCTGAAGATGTAAGCACCTGCCTGGAGGTGACCCTGTGCCAGGTGCTCTGGGTGTCCCTGCTTGCAGGGCTGGGCTAGATGATCTCCAGAGGTTCTTTCCACCCTCGACCATTCTGTGATTTACGTCTCAAGCTCTGCCCCCAGTGCTCACAGAGCTACCCAGGGAAGTACCGTGCAGAGCAGCGATGTTCTACAAGTGGCCACGAGGGAGACGCGAGACCTTCCAAGGCTTTGGGGCACCAGGTCCATGCAATGCCAGCCCCTAATGCAGCGCTGCTCCAAAGGGCCTTCCTGCAGCCCGGCTGCTCTGTGGCAGTCGTCACGGCAGTAGCTTCAGTAACAACCCTTCTAACCTGTGGGAAAGCCGTAGGAGTCCCGCTATCCTTCCAGTCCCAGCAAGGCRGCGACGTTTCCCGCACACACTACCCGGGTGCCACGAGAGCCTCTCTGTGCTGTCCGTGCAGGCCTCGTGTGTTTCATCAACTGCATCATTGGCCTGATTTTCACCATGGAGGCTGGGAATTACTGGTTTGACATATTCAACGACTACGCGGCCACCCTCTCGCTGCTGCTCATTGTGCTGGTGGAGACCATCGCTGTGTGCTACGTTTACGGGATAAGAAGGTAGGAGCTGGAAACCCCGCTTCTGTACAGCGTGACTGTAAGCAGGAGAGGGGGGATGCGACCATAGGCCAAGCCAGACAGCAGTAGGAGTAAAAATACCACCTTGGACTCCATTTTTTTCCCGTTTTTCCTGACACTCTGGAAGCCCCAAAGGGGTGCTACTGCCTGCGATCTTAGTTTAGGGATCACCTGTCCTTACACAAGGGGAAAGATCTCCAGCTGCTAGTTCTGGTGCTGTTATTTTCTAATTTGCCCCCCGCCAGTGCCCTCTCCGCAGGCAGGGGAGCACTAATGAGCGGGACACGCTGTTCCCTGCTCGCTCTGTCTCTCGCCGTCGGTCCAAAGAGCATCTCCTGCCAAAAGGCGGCCTCTCCTTTTGCAGAAACGCGGGGCGAGCTGCGAAGCGCGGCCAGCACCCGGCAGGAGGCTGCCCACCCAYGGGACACCCCCAGGAAGCAGGCTCTAACCTTTAACGTGTCTTTAACGCTTGTGACTCTGTCCACAGCAGGTGCCTGCGGCCACCGCAGCCCTTGGGGTGCTCACAAGCTCCAGGTCACCCCAGGTTGAGCTCCCGGGCGCAGCGCGAGGGCCGCCACGAGGAGGCCTCCCCTGGGCGAGGGCGGCAGCGGGATTCCTCACGCTGCTTCCATGCGATTCCTTCCCCCGCTTCCATGTGATTCCTCACACTGCTTCCACGTGATTCCTCCTGCTGCTCGGTGTCATTCCTCCTGCTGCTTCCATGCGATTCCTCCCCCTGCTTCCGCGTGATTCCTCTCCCTGCTTCCACTCGATTCCTCCTGCTGCTTCGGCACCAGCTCTTCAGCAGCCTCCAGGACTAATACAGCTCTGAGCTTACCTAAGGCGAAGTCTATGGGGGCTTTTCTACCTTATATAACTCTACCTATAGACCAGGGGGCCTGCCGCAAGCCCTGCTGGTTTTCACTCCCTTTCAGCCAGGCTTTCAGATGCTGCCCCTTTCTGCTCRCGTCTCTCCCTGGTCAGACTCCCTCTACCCGTGTTATTAGCCCTAGAGGAGCTTGTCAAGCAGCAGAGATGAAGGTCCCGACTGAACACATGGGGCTGCTCTCAAGAACTCCTCCTTTCTTATTTTCTGCTTTTCTTCTCATGACAGATTTGAGAAAGATCTTCACACCATGATCGGACATAAGCCAAGCTGGTATTGGAAAGTTATGTGGGCTTTTGCTAGTCCCTTGCTAATTATAAGCCTATTTATATTTTACATCACGGACTATATCCTCACAGGAACGCTGCAGTACCAGGCGTGGGATGCCGCACAGGTAAAGCAGCACCGAGGCTTTGCTCGGTTTGTGCTTTGAAGAAACGTTCAGCACGCCCTGCAAGGACACACAGTGTTCCTTCCGAACCACGCTGCTCCCCCAAACCTGCTCCCTTTTCCAAGCCTGCAGCTGGAGCTCACGTCATTGCTCAGTTCTTATAAACTGGTATCTTTAAACAAAAAAGTTATAATGTTTATTAGTGATGACTGAAAAAAAATCTTAAAAATGCCCTTTAACCAAAAGCATTTAGTTCAAAAAAACAGTGTTTTGAGTAAAATTAGAGGTATTTTAAAACAGGGCAGCAGCTGCTGGAATAGCACAAACTGTTTTCACCAACCATTTCATTTCTGTTTTCAAGTCTCCCCATTACACTTTTCTTCACGGCCAAAATAATTCTGTAGAAGTTCCAAAGGGATTATGTTTTTGCAGAGGAATTACTGCTGGATAAGTAATTACTAGTTTCATAAGCTTTTGTGGAAATGTTTCCTGCACATAGAGAAAAAAAACGAAAAGCAAAGCCCTGTTTGCCTCCTGTCATCACCCATTTGGGCGCCCGCAGAGGGCCGGGCTCCTTGACTGGGCAGCAGCAGCAGGAAGCCCATCCCGGTGCCAGGAGAGCGCTGGGAATCGCCTGCGGTGATGGGGTCAGTGCCGAGCGAGCTCATTAAGGGAGGAAGCAGCCAGGACTGGCTCTGCTGCAGCTCATGGAAGCTGCAGCAAGGAGAAGGCCCCCACTATTTGCAGCATGCAAMCCCCTCTATAGCAAGGGGTGGCACCCAGGCTTATGCCGGCGAGGCTGCGGAGCAGCTTTAAGGACAGTCATAGAATCCCTATGGCTGGAAAGGGCCCTGGAGCCCAACCGYGAGCCCTTCCCTCACCACCCGGCCTGTGCAGCACATTCCCGAGCGCCTCCTGCACACGCTTCMCCGGCACCGCCAGCCCGGGAAGCGCGAGCACCTCTCCCCTCCTTCCAAAGGGTGCACGAGGAGCTGGGCGAGGGGCTGCCGAGGCGCGAGGACCCGCGTGCGCTAACGCTCCGGGACCCGCGTGTGCTAACGCTAACGCGCCGGGATCTGCACACGCTCACGCTAACGCTCCGGGATCGGCACGTGCTAACGCTCCCGTCTCACCCGCAGGGGCAGCTGGTGACCAAGGACTACCCGGGCTACGCGCTGGCCGTCATCGGGCTGCTCGTGGCGGCCTCCACCATGTGCATCCCGCTGGGCGCTCTGCTGACGCTGGCGCGGAGGCGGCTGCGGAGGGGCCGCGCGCGCCCCGTGGCCTGAGCGCACGCACGGCGCTCCCTCCACGTGCTGCCTTCACCTGAGCGCCCTCGGGAGGCCCCAAACCCGTCAGGAAAAAAGAAACCACCCCCCACTAAAACAGAACCAAGCTCTTCTGCAGCAGCGAGGCTTTTYGGTGGCCTCTGCAGGAGGAGACACGCAGAAGAGCAGCTCACGAAACGCCACCGAGCGCAGGTCGCCAGCGCCCCGGCTAGCCACGTAGCGCTCAGGTGTTCCTGCGGGAGAGCCTGCGGGGCAGCACCGGCGCCGAGCCGAGCGTCTCCCGCCGCCCGAGCGCCGCTGCCCTCCGCAGGCAGAGTCAAACTGACTCTTTTGGATGACGTCTCTATTTAATCTGCTGGAGTTTTACACTGTGAACACGGCCATTCTTTCCCCGCAAAAGGAAAACGGGTGGGAAGGTATCCGAGACAAATCCTTTGGCTTCCTGCATATTTGTGCCAGCAAAGCRGTGTTATATAAACTGCAGAAATCCTCATTCCCCAAAGAAGTAAACATCCAGTTCCAGTATCTAGGTGTGTGCTTCATGTTTTCCAGGGATGCACTGTTACATGTATCTGTGATATGCTCCTGAGCTGCGAGAGATGCAGCTTCCTTCAGGCCCAAACCGGAGCCGCGYATGCCACATAACCAGCTTTAGCAAGCTCCTCTCCACGGTGGTTAGTTTTTACCCCAAGATGCAACAAATCAGCAGTTCTGTAGCACTGATCAGCTTCCTTATGTAGTTTTTTTTAATAAAGAAAATAACATAGTAAGTTTTTGAGGTTCACATAATAGAAAACAGCAAAATTCTACCTATGAACTTTAAGGAGGTCACTCTGCACAACAACACTAAAGACACATTGAGAGGACAGGGGTTCTTAACAGCGTGTCTTCCTTAGCRTGTGGTTAGAAGATGCCAGTTGCCTTACAGAAGAGGGGCTCATTTCACACGAGCACCGTTCGAGCCCGCCAAGGCCTCCCGCTCTGGGCCTAGCTAACAGAAGAAAGACAACTTTTTCACATTTCAGTTTATTAAAAATGGACACCGTAAACAAGACCTGTACAAAAACTATCCGAAATTGCCCAGAATGTGGTAAGAGGGGTTGCAGTGAGCAGTTATCGCCTGGGACCTCCTCTTCCTCGGCCGCGACCTCTGCCTCTCCCACGGCCTCGGCCACGGCCTCTTCCAGCCACTGCACAAATAAAGCAAAAGAAACATTTCAGTTTTGACTAAACGCTTCTGCATCAGGCACAAACAACTCTGTRTCAGATATGAAGGCTGGTAATTGCCAGTGTATTTCAGGCAGTGTTTTCCTATTTTGTATCAGGTTTTCCAACAGTAACCTCGCCGGGCTACAGTTTATGTTTGGCTCCACTCAAGGTGACAAGGGGAAACAGCAGCACAGTTGGCTCTTTCCAAGCAACTGACGGTTTGACAGACACTGATGCCCCTTTTCTGATTTCTGAAAGGCTTAAGTTTTATCAAGAGAAAGAAAAAGGTCCTGCAGGACMTTCTGGCACAGTGTTCATTTCACCACTGCTCACATCACAGCACATGTATTACCACAGCTCACATCATGGGGTTTTCAGCACACCGACAAAGGCAGATGCACATTTCAACACACTGTTAAGACTTTCAAGCGCACTCTTCCATTTACCTACACGAAACAGCTACGTTTCCAAGCACCAAGCAGCTCCTGCTGTTTTCAAAAATGCCTCTACTCACTTTCCAAGTGCTTATCAGGCCAAATCTTGGCTCTGTGCTCCTTCCAGATACTACACGGTGCAGTAAAAGGCAGARCCACAGAGCAGTTTAGGTTACAAGGGACTGCAGGAGATTGGATATTCCATAGGATGATGGGGTGTCATTTCACCCCCATTTTCTAAGGAAATAAGCCCTGTTCCATCAGGTTGCCAGCTCCCTCTAAGAACCTYTGATGTTACTGGTTCATTTCAAGCAAGGCTGTCAGTGTAGGGCTTGCTGCCTCCCATCACCATTTTCACTTGCCAAGGAGAGATCCCACATTAACCGTGGGCACCTGCATCCAGAGCACGTGCAGATGAAGGCAAAGCTCAACAAGAGCCCCAGCACAGCCAAGGTGTAAGAAGTGAGGTTCAGGAGAGAGCAGCCCAACCACGGTCCAGTTTCACCCTGTGGGCAGTTCATTTTTAATGGATATGAGAGGGGCAAAACCCTGCCAGGAGCTTCACGCTTGCTCTTGGTAAAGAGCAAGGCCACAACTATTAGCACTTGGGAGGTGAGCCCGCCACCTCTGCCCAAACCGCACCATCCACACGGCTTGAAGCCACAGAGCCGCATCCAAACACTCCAACACCCGTTACTGGAGAAATGGGARGACATTATTTTAGAGCACAATTTGCTTTCATTTAAAGAAATTAAAAATAAAAGCACCAAGATCAAGCACTGTGCAAAATGTACACTGTGCAAACACACGATTTTCTGGGGTTTATTAGGTGCTCAAGTTTTAATAGCATGAACTAAAACTGAACTATTCTCCCTACATTGTTGTGTGTTTAGGGAAAAGGTTTTGCTCAACAGCCTTCTGGGAAAAACTAAATACAGTTCCCAGGAAGAGCACATACAGTGCAATGCTGGAAAACTCATCGGATAAGAGTGCGGACTCGCTTCAATCCTTAATTCCCTCCCATGCAGCTCTCCTGCAGTTAATTCTTACCCACTACCAAGCAATATTTCAGCTATGTGCAAGAGGCCATARTGTACTTTCTTATTAGGCCTGGAGAAACACAGCAAACATGCCGAGAGGAAATGTCTTTTTGGTGTCACCTCTGAAAAATGTGGATTAAAACTGCTCCAAGCTTAGAAGTATTTGCATTTTTTACACAAGCATATGACGAGCTATAAATGTATCATTTCACCCAAAAGGAGATTTYGTAGATGCTAAGAAGGCAGGCAAGGCAGACACAGCAATATCAGCATCAAGCCATCAAGGGTGAGAGAACCAGATGCCAAATGCAGGAATTAAGATATTCAGGCAATTTACAGAACAACTGCACAGTCGCAGTGACCCAAAACGGGCCCAAACCACTGCTGCGTAGCGCAGAGCAGAGAAAGGGGGCTGGGAAATCACCAACTAACCTGCTTCCCTCTTCTTGGACTTGACTTTTGGCTCCACATCCACTAGCAAGGTGTCRAGGGGCAGGCTGTCTGGCAGGATGAAGTAGCGAATGTTATTGCCGCGAATGCTCAGCGTCTCCAGCTGCACGGGCTCCCTGTTCTTCAGCGTCATCTTCACCGCCTTGAGATGCGTGTTCATACTGACATCCACTCCTGAAACAGCAACAGCCCCGACTGCTGCCACGAGGCTACAACACGGGCCCGGCTGGCAACGCAGGCTGCTTTCAGGTAGAAACCTGCTTGCAGGTGTGTGCTGCTCATGGGCACTCGCTCTGGATCTAGGCCACTCACAATTAAGCCTGCGAGTGAAGCTAACACACACATTTTGCCTCTTCAATTTATACTGGCTCATTTATCAGTAACTATTCTCAAGCACTTACTGTACGCTTTGGATGGAAAGCCACCTCTGCTATCTGTACAATACCATTAGAGATCTTTATGTAGATCCAACACAGGCATAGTAATTTTATAAATGGTTAAAATGGTCCCTTTCAGCAAAAATCAAATACCATTTATTACAAAAGTCTAACACTAGGATTTTTTTTTGCTTTAAAAAAGCCATGAAAAAACTCTGGGGAGGAAGCGATTGATCATTTCCTCTTTCTGCAAGCATAAGAAGTGGCACCATTCAGCCTCTATATTTTGTCCTGCACATCATAAGCCTGTAGCTATGAAGATCAAAATAAGAATTTCTTTTTTCAAAACAAAACAAAAAAGACAAGATAGAAATTGTAATTTAGAAATGAGCATTAATTCAGAGAGGACAACCACACGAGTAAAATGTCTAGCATATTCTAAGTGTGTGTTTGCACAAACAGCCCTGGGAGGTAAAAGCAATTATTGTCTCATTTCATAAATGGAGAAAACCAAACTGAAGGACAAGTGTTTCACCAAGGCAATAATACCAGCTCCATAAAGCTAATGCAAGCTTATGCGAAGATGCATTCCTATGTAAGGTAAACAAATAACTCTCTTTTAAACAAATAACTCTCTTTTAGATTAAAACAATCTACAGCCTACTTGAACTGATTTAAGCCTGCGGGGACATTTGCCATTTATCTGCCTACCACACACACACAAAAACGCCCTTTGCAGGTGGTTCCTCTATAAAATCCTTGCATGACTGGAGCCCACAGCAATTCCACAAAGCAGAATCAGACATATTCAAATACCATGAAGGGACTTAGCAGACGTAGCTGTTTACCACCACGCCGGGCTGGCAGCGGTACAACCAGCTCCCCACCCTCACGGTGCTGAGCAAATTCTCCCAAGCAGGCCGTGCTTCCTTCAGTTTTGCTAAGGAAACAGTCTGCACAAGTTCACTTCATTTTCCCTTCAGCTTATTTGTGAGCGTAGCCCAGGRGGGCACCAGAGGCTCCAGCAAGTGCCGCAGCCCCCCGGCTGCCTCCCAGCGCTGCCTCATGAAGGGGAGCACAGACACCCACACATCGCCGGCTCCACCGGCGCCACCGGCGCGAGGAGTCCCCGCCGCCCGGCCGGGGCCCGGGGCTCCGCAGGGCCGGGGCTCGGGGCTCCGCGGGGGCTCGGGGCTCCGCAGGGCCGGGGCTCGGGGCTCCGCAGGGGCCGGGGCTCCGCAGGGCCGGGGCTCCGCGGGGCCCTCTCCGGCCGCCGGCTCCCGCGCAGGCCCCGGCGCGGCGGAGGGCGCAGCCGGTACCTGTGATGGTGCCGTGCACCTGCGTGCCGTTCTTGAGCTCGATGGTCACCGTCTCGTGGCTGAGCTTCATGAGGAACCTACGGGCGGAGCGGAGGGAGGGCCCGTTGGCTCCGCCGCGCCGCCGGGCAGGGCCCGCCCGCCTCGCGGCGACAAAGGCGGCGCCGCCGGGCCCGCCAAGGAGCCGCCGCCCGGGCCCTGCC